AAAAAATATACTTATTCAAGCCATAGTTTGTAAGTGTGGAATACTTTTAAATTCTGTGACAAATGTCAAACATAAATAACTGCAAAGGACCCAGAAGAGTGATGAAAGATGCAGTTCAACTGTAAGTGTCTTTGGAGAGAAAGGAGCCCAACTCTACTCTTTCTCCTCAATTACTTTATAGTTAATTAACTCATATGTAGAACTTTAAAAATTTATATGAAGAACCTTAAATTGGCATCTATGTCCTAAGTCTTAATTGATGACTTTCAGTTGACACTAAAAACATTACAGAGGTAAAAATGTAGCTACATGATAAGATTCTAGAAAATAAAAACATAAAACTGTGTGAGTTTGGACAGTTAAGAAGACAGAATGCATGATAGTTCAACAGAGGTATTCTCATATAAGAAACTTCTTACAAATATATTGGAAGACCTGAAAAGGAAAACAGGGAAGGAAGTCAACATCTTCACCAGATTAATTAAAATGTAATCTTTCAGTCAAACAATCTTTTCATTTTTTTCTTAATTTGAGACAGGGTCTTATTCTGTTACCTGAGCAAGAGTGCATTGGCATCACTACATTTCACTCTAACCTCAAACTCCTGGGCTCAAGATATCCACTTGCCTCAGCCTCTGGAGTAGCTGGGACTACAGGCATGAACCTCCACACACAGCTAGTTTTTCCATTTTTTGTAGAGATGAGGTCTTGCTATGTTGCTCAGACTGGTCTAAAACTCCTGACCTCAAGCAATCCTCCCACCTCTGCCTCCCAAAGTGCTAGGATAACAGGTGTGAGCCACCACACCTGGTCTGATTTTTTTTTTTGTAACCATCTTTGAATAATCAGAGTTTAAATTTTGTGCTACATGCATCATTTGGAAAATGGTACTTCTAGTAAGTTTCATTCCTTATACAATTATGGAAAACTGCTATGTTTTTCAACTACATACATAGAAATACTTAACATAACCAGTAATAACATTTTTATTTATAATAATACAAATATTTGATATGGTAAATGAATAGTAATCCCTTTCAATGGAGATCTTCTCTTCTGTATTTAAGAATTCTATAATAGCTCTCATTCAAGGCTTAAAAAATAACAACATTAATTTAGTGAGAATATTGGCTTAGAAGGGGCCCCCAAAACCCAGGAAAAGTTCACAAAATCAGAAATATGATTCCAAATTTATTACCTTTTTGTTTATCTGCAGAATCATTATATTTCGACTTACAGCTGTAGGTCTAAGTGTTCCAAAGTACCCTGAATATGACTTGTTATATACTTGGAAGACGTTAATAAACTTAAATCTTACTTGACAGTTCTTGCAACATGATCCTTCATGACATTGTGCTCCTTGTTTCAGCACACAATTTTCAGGATCACAACAGCTATCAGGTCCACATTGCTGTAAGTAAGCAAAATGTACAAGGAAAAATGCATCCAAGAATAAAAACTTTGCTAGAAGCTATATTTTTGATGGGCTTAATTTTTGAGATTTAGAAAAGGATATGAATGCTTCTGACACTTAATAGCTTTTGGCATCTCTAAATATTTAAAATACTAATTAATGTAACACTTTCACTTCAGGTCATAACAGAGTAAATAGTAGCCCACTTACCTTCCTATCCAGTTAGAAAACATGGAAAACATGATTTACTTCTTCCAGAAACTGAATGACAGACAAAGCAGAAGTATGATCCTTTGGAGAAGAGAAACAATGAGATAAGCCCTGGGTCACCAGCTGTCTGCCTCAAGGTGTTTTCCCAAGCAGAGCATAATGTTCTCATTGACTTGAAAAATCAAAGATGGTAGCTTGAAGTTGCCGAATTAGTGGGGCTATTGAACAGTGTGACAGAAAAAGAAAGACTTCTAGAGTTCTGCATAGCAGTCATCTTGAGCCTTTGGTTGAGCTATATATGCATAAACCAATAAAAACCACCAAGAAAAAATGACTGCCAGGACACTGAAAGGTAAAACCCTCAGGCATTTGCGCCAGGAGATATTGGGGTTCCAACTAGCCACAGTAGAAAATCTTCATTGAACAGCCAGGATATTCAGTAGATACTCAGAACTATGTATTGCATGAATATAGGGTAACACAAACTCTAGAGAGAAAGCTACTTTAAACTAACCATTAAAATCTATGTTTCAAAACTACCAAACTGATTGACAATCAACTTAAATGTAGCAAGAACAGAGTCTAATACGCTTTAAAGGAGAATGAAAAAATCCAAACACTCCACAAAATAATAGGCACAATATGTAGCATTCAATTAAAAAAAAATCTCACATGCTAAAAAGCAAAAAAA